TGCCAACTTTAGGTCAACAGGAGGTTCTTGCTGATTCTGAGCCACAATTCCTGGCCCTAGTCAGCTATCAACACCTCTTGGTGATCTCTTATCAACCAGTGGAAGGGAGCCTTCTTAGAGCCCTTAAAATGATCAAGTCCTTCCATCCACATCAAGCTTCTTCCAAGGTTCTTCTTGATTTTATTTTGGAAACCTGTGATTTCCTTACAACCTAGTGTGACGGCATTTTTAGTCTCCTTCTGTGCCTGCACACAGAACTTCAATACTTATACATGGTCCCTTCAGGCTGGGAACCTGCAGCTAACGCACAATTTCCCGCAATGTGCAGCAGTAATAGAAAAGGACTGAGAGGGATGTTAATGTCACCATCAAACATTTGACAGCAAAGCAGTCTCTTGTTTGGAAGTCGTCCTAAGTAGCGTTGACAATGACTGTAGAATTACATATGACAATAATTGTAGAATTACAATCTGTGACCTGGGTCACCGCAGTCTTGGTGCTGCTGTTGCTGCTCCGGTGTCCCTCTGCCAACAGCGGTGGGACTCTCAGCCTGGCTGCTCTGTATCAGCTGCTGCTGCTCCTGGGCTGGACCGAAGCAAAAAGAGAAGAGAGAGTTAAGCATGGGGGCTGCCTCATTTTTTCCAGTCCTGAGCAATGATGTGGCTGACATTCATTATCCCGTGTACTGAAGCACGATGCTCTGCGAGGACTGCAGCGTCAAGTGCTCCACCCCTATCCGCAGGGCAGTGTGCCGCCGCGTCGGTGTCGGAAGTGCAAGACTCTGGTTCTGTTTGGAAAAAAATAAAATTATTCGAGTTTCCTTTTAGGTGAACCCGGACATGGGGAAGCTGTGTAAACTGGCAGACGTAAACTACCTGCATAATTGAGGCGACTCAAAATCAGCCGTGTTAAAAGCTACAGCCGCTTTATAAGCTGACTGCCACAAAGACTGCTTGTTTAACAACGCAATTTCCAGCTGCTGCCCACTTGGAAGGGAGAACTACAAGTTCTTTACTGAAAGAATACCTGTTTAAGTGATAGTGCCACAGATTTTTAAGAAATACATAGGCTCAAAACATAAGGACTGCAAGCC